GTGAAAACCAAGGTAACTGGGAAAGAAATAAAGAAGTAGAATTGAAAATACGCCACGAGACTTATCTTGCTAAGTGATCCCACTTCCTAACACAACAAGTCGGTTGAAAACCCATTCACTCACTTTTGAAATGTTGAAAGCTTAAAGTAAAAATACTTGAATTTTATTAATAAGTTGAATATTCTGAATTGAATGCCTATTTATAGTGTAGATCATGCGAATAATAAGGAAAAAATAATCTCCTAATTAATGGTAGAAATTACATAAGAAATTAAATATGAACTAGAATGGAAAACTAGAAAGAATTAAGAAAATTACAACTAAAATAGTATAGATATGATTTCCTTATGAGGAAAACTTTTTAAATAGAGAATATCTTAATTAATTGTGACTGATTTAGGAGAAGAGATTCTCTCAAAATATTTTCCTCTTTCTCAAGTATTTCTTTTTCCGTGAGATTTGACATTTAAGGAGTTTTACTCTTACTCAAGATAGATTGCAATTTAGGAGCAATTTCCTTTCTTGGCTGATCTTTAATTGTGAAGATTTCCTATATGATTAGAAAATAAAACTCCATGAGAATTTTTCCTTTTCATGTCTCGCAGAATTTTTCTTCATTTTCTTGTTTATTTCCCTCTTGCACTTGGGGTGAATATGATATATTATTACACCTTTGGGTTAATGACCATGTTGTCATCTTTTCTCGGGCTTCTTTAATGGGTCCAATCCCATCTTTCTCATTGATCTACGCTTGGATTAAAAGTTGGAAAACTTGTTGTAATCGTTTAGCTCTCCCCCTTGTAATAGGCCCACTTAGCTTTGAAATATCTTCTCCACCAATTTGACCCATGTCCATGCTCACATCAGTAAATTTTTCATGGAGAAAGCTTATGATCATGTTAGCTGGGATTTTGTGGACTATTTGTTGGAAAGATTGGGTTTTGGTCCAAAATGGAGGATGTGGATGATGCATTGTATTACAACTACCTCCTTTGCAGTGCTCATCAATGGGGGTCCCTCTGTTTTCTTCAAAGCCTCTAGAGGCCTTCGACAACGGGACCCATTATCTCTACTTCTATTTATTATTATGATGGAAGCATTTAATGGCTTATTGTCAAGGGCGTTGGAGCTGCTATTAATTAGAGGAATTAATATTGGCCGTGGTGACAATTCCATTGAGTTTTCACATTTGTTTTTTGCTAATGACACACTGATTTTCTGTCAACAGGAGGTTGGGATCCTGAGGCATTTAACCTGCATTCTGCTACTGTTTCAAGCTGTCTCTGGCTTGAGCATCAATCTGAGTAAATCTGAGATGGTCAGATTGGGGGGGGCAAAGAAGATGAAATTAGGCTAGCCAAGGTTCTGGGTTGTTAGCTGGTCAGTCTCCCTAACCAATATTTGGGCCTTCCCCTTGGGGCCAAATATAAGGATTTGAAAACTTGGGAGGCGATTATTGAGATGTTTGAAAGGAGACTTGCAGGATGGAAAAAAAATTTTCTATCCAAGGGAGGTAGATATACCTTAATAAGAACCACTCTAATGAATCTCCCAATTTATTTTCTCTCCACCATCACGATTCCAGTGAAAGTTGCTAAAAAATTGGAGGCAATAGAATGTTGTTTTTTATGGGGTGATGAGGAAGGAAACAGAAAATATCACTTAGTAAATTGGGGTGATATTAAGAAACCAATAATGCAAGGAGGCCTGGGCATTAAGTCCATTGTTGAGCTGAATGTTGCCCTTAAAGCAAAGTGGCTGTGGATATTTGTCATGGAAGAAGATAGGCTCTGGAGGAAGATTATTACTGTAAGATGGGGTGATCTGCTTGGCAGGGTGGGGACAGACATAATCAATAAAAAGGCGTAGTCTCGGGTTGTGGAGGAAAATGTTAATGGAATAACACCGTTTTCAGGATTGCATTGAGTGGAATATTGGTTGTGGCGACAAAATCAGGTTTTGGAAGGATGAAAGGATTGAAGGGGGGTGTCTCATGAGCCGTTTTCGAAGAATCTTTGAGATTGCTCAGTGCAGAAACATGGTTGTCAAGGAGGCCTATAAGGAACATAATGGTAGGACTTGGGAAGTGAATGATCACAGGAATTTGAAAGATTGGGAGGTTCAGGAGTATGAAAATCTTTTGAACCTTCTGGAATCACAGCAACTGAGTAATAAGGCAGACAGAGTGAAATGGAAGATGAACCAGAATGGTCTGTTTTCCGCTAAATCATACTACTGCTTTATTAGAGGGGAAATGCACGTCCCAACTAATAGTTTTCCGGCAAAACAGATTTAGAAATCAAGAGTGTCACCAAGAATTGCTTTCTTTGCCTGGGAGGCTAGCAGGGAATGTATACTAACACTTGATAAGTTAATGACAAGAGGACAGTTTCTTGCCAATCGGTGTTACCTTTGTTTGAATGCTGCGGAGTCGTGTAATCACCTCTTATTATGGTGTCCAGTGACTTATAAGCTGTGGAGCATGGTGTATGGACCTCTGGGGGTAAACTGGGTGATGGCTGACATTGTTAGGGGGGAAATTTGGGCTTGGGGTGGAATTAGTCTAGGAAAAGAGTGTGTTAAGTTGATTCAGTTGACCATTTTTTGGGTTATTTAGAAGGAGAGAAACCTTAGAGCTTTTAAGGGAAAATAGAATTTGATGTATAGATTGAGAGACAGGTAGTTTCATTTTTTTGAGACTATTTTAATTGGACATGACATGATTAAGGATGAGGATTTTGGGATTGTTATTGATATTTAACTCGAATATAAATCTATTGTACATGGGTGGTACCCTGTTGGTACTATGTTTATAATACTACTTCACACTTCTTATTTCAAAAAAGAACAAATTTGGAAGGAGAACGACAACTTTGATTCCTCAAATTGGAGAGAGTGTGATTATATTTGACCTGGACAGATTTTAAGCATTTTTTTCATCTCCGGTTTGGACCACCAGTTCACAGTAGTTACTTTCTGTGCAAGCAAGTGCACTCGCCCCTGAACAAGAAGTGGAAATTTTCATTAGTGGGTTGAAAGAATTCATTGGGGTGGAAGTTGCGTTTTCACATCCAAGGGATTTGACTATAATCATGAATTTAGTACGACTTCTAAACATAAAAATGACGATTTCTGTCTGAAAAGCATCCGATAGGTCGGTGGCCAGTCTAATTTGATAACTTATTCAAAAGGAATTGATAGACGAATGGGTCATGGAAGACTAAACGAACATGAAATGAAAGGTCGATAGTGAAAGATGAACAAAAAGTCACAACTCAAAGGCTAATTCATGCTTTGCCAATGTTACTCAATGTTATTATAGTAAAAACTGAAAATGAAAGGTCGATAGTGAAAGATGAACAAAAAGTCACAACTCAAAGGCTAATTCATGCTTTGCCAATGTTACTCAATGTTATTATAGTAAAAACTGAAAAAGAATGCCCTTTTGAGCACCTTTATCACATACCTAGACCCAGAAGAGAGCAGAGCCTCGACTCATGTTTTCACTAAAAGCTTGGATTCCAATGCGGAAAAAGTGCTGTGCTAGTGAATCGATAAGTCTTTTACAGTATTATTGAAGTGAACTTTTAGCAAGAGCTGAGGACTACAACAGGGTCATCCCCTTCTAGACACTAATCACCCCGATTGATATTTGGTACTTGGTATTTAACTTTGCAAGGAACTTTCTACACTTTGTGGGACTAAGCTAGCATTTAGCTCCATCTATCATCCTCAATCAGGACGGCTAAACAGAGATTGTTAATCGCATAGTTGGAGTGTACCTCCATTGTTTTACAGATGACGACCCAACATGGGTGGGTTCTATGGTTTTCTTGGGGTTAGTATGCTTATAATATTGGTTATCACTCTTCTTTAAAGGCACTCTTTCGAGGTTGTGTATGGGAGACTGGTATCAAGACTACTCTCTTATTGTCCGGGCCTTTCAACTTGGAAGCAGTTGATTGTGAACTTAAGGACCATGAAAATTTATTACACACTTTACGTACTCAGTTATAATCCTAGCTATTGGGAAGTGATTTTCAAGAACGGTGATTTGGTTCTTTTGAAGCTTTAGCCGTATAGACAGATATTGCTTAATATTAACAAGAGGGTGCAGAAGCTGTTTTCTCGTTTCTATGGCCCTTTTAAGTTACTTCAAAGGATTGGTGAAGTTGCTTACAAGTTGGATTTATCCTCCTCCACCAAGTTACATCCAGTTTTTCATGTTTCTTCTCTCAAGGCTTTCCATGGACAACGAGGTAAGCCAACAAGGTGTGTCATCCACTCTTCCTGTTGTTCATCAAGGAGTTCCTCATCCTTCATCTTAATCTCAATTGACATTAAGAACCCATAATGGCCAGCATGAACTTCTCATGCATTCAGAGGGTCTCTCTTGCAGATGTTTCTTGGGAACTTGCTGATCAAAGGCAGCTCCGCACTCTTACTTTGCGCTTGAGGACAAGCACCAATCCAAGGGGGAAAGTGATGTTAGGAACAAAATAGTTCTTTATCTGCAGTTTTACCAAAGGAGAAATAAAATCAATAATCCTGTGACTTCTTACATATATGTGTGTCCGTGTTAAGCTTATTGTATAATTACGATGTAAGTATGTTAAAATAAGTGTTAAATGTGTATTAGGGTAAGAGATAAGTCTATTATAAGACAAGGATAGTTTAGGCAATTCTGGAAATTCTAATTCCAGAATTAACTGGTCCTCATTGTATAGTTCTCTGCTGTGGGGATGAAATCCATTTGTCTGCAAATTTAATATTAATGAAGAGTGTGTTTCTAATCTAAAGATTGTAAGGTTCTCTCTATCCAACCAGCCCTATTTATTTTTTCTGAGTCTCTAAAGATGAAGGAAAAAAAATCGAAGTAAAATTCAATTTTATGTACGTTGTGAGTTTTCCCATAACACGATTGGTGAGTAGAAATTGTAACATATCTATGTCTTTTAGGTTGGACACTGAGTCTTGTATCTTACATTGCGGTAAATCAGGTGAATTATGGCAACTTTATGCATGGCCTGATGAAGGAGAACATCCAATTGAACAGAAAGGTTCTCTCGGAGCTATCTATGCACGAACCATACAGTTTCAAGGCACTTGTGGACATCTCTCGGAGTGCTTTCCAAGGAAATAAAAATATTGTGCTTCCGTCTAGAAAGGTAGACATTTCATCAATCAATGTGTAACTGATTTTTAACTTTACTCATCCTTTACTTTGATTATTGTCTAGCTAGAACAGAAAAGATCAACGTCTTTAGTTCGCAAGCAAAATATTTTACCTGCTTTCTGATAAACTATTGTAGATCTGAGCTGTTGGATATCATGAAGCAAAATATCTCAGTTTGGTTTTTTAATTAGGTTTTATTGAATACCTTTCCTTTTAAAAAGAAATGCTTTAGACACTAGCAGTTAGAGATTTGCATACAATAATTCTTTGTTTTTCTTAAACAAGTCAATTTTTTTTTTTTCAAGTTAAAATTGTTGAGAAACATGAGTCCAATTATTTGGCACAAATCATAAACACCATATATCCTTCACCAAAAGATGGACCTCATTGCACACCTATTCTACTGTAACTCGAATGACTCGAGAACAGTGAAGATTGACAATTTTTGTAGCTTGGAAAGAGCCAAGGAAGTTCAGCAACCTTCAATAACTAGATTTCCCCTCTGTAGAGATTGCTATTGCTATCTTCTCTCTTAATCTATTATTTTCTCATTCTATTTTTCTTTCAATTTTGATGATGAATCATTTTGTTATTGCAAGAGTGCATGTAGTGGAAGCCCTTTTGTAATTTTATTCAGAAGGTAATTTAAGTTATTTTCCTAGTGCAAAATGTGAGGGAATAGGGTGCGTTCTTCTTTGAAACTAGGTAGACTAAGTTCTGAACTCAATGGAGGGAAACATGAGCTCATGTTGAAAGGTATATGTTACCTGTCTCTTATGCTTTTTTTTTTTTTAATAGACATTAAAATTTTTTATATATAGAAAGAAAATATACTTTGTTGTTTGTTTTTAAAGGACTTAATGAGTATACTTGAAAACTACCTATTTTTGTGTTCTTTTGTTTCGATGCTAAAAGAATGAGGAGAAAATAAGTAGGGAGAAAAGTCATCCGAGGAAATACCATGTCTAAAAGTTCATAAACTAATAATTTTTAAGACAAATAGACATTGGCAGACAATTATCAGTCTGACAGTAATAAACTGTTTGTTGGGTAATGAAAATAGAATTTTCAAACACAAATAAAAAGTATTTACTTTAGTCGTAGATATAATAAAATTAGTATGACAATCATATTGTTTCATTATAAGTTTCATTTATGGATAGAATTCAAGAGTATCTCTTAGGTGGGGAAGTTGCATTCCTGTAGTTACTCATGTAGTATTAAAAAATATCTTATATTGTAAAAGAATGGTCATCAATTGAAGTGGAAAGCTTTAGACCATTGTTTGTAATGTCATATTCAAGTATCGTAATATACTTGAAATACAGTTGCAGTATTTTGATTTTGTATAAATTATGTTACTGATTTAGTCAACCAAGTTCGTCCTAACACAGACATTCAGACTAAAATGTTGAAGTTCAAGAGTGCATTGTGATTAATTCTGTTGGTAATGTCATGAGGCCCAACATAAATGGATTATAAGTTGTTAACTTTTACTTAAAATATGACACTATTTTATGGAATTTCTAGAGGAGAAATCTATTGGACTTAAAAAGAATGAAAAACCAAATTTGATATTCTAAGTTGCAGTGCGAAAAAGTTATTGTTTGGTTAAAGAGACTTTACACTTTTCATGATTATCAGGTGATAGAGAGTGATAAAATTATTCTTTGTGATAGTCTAGGAATGTATATTTATTGTGTAGAAACCATCAAGTTAATTATAGCAGTCGGTAGATTGAGTTTCTGTTTTTGTTTATTTCTTTTTCATTTTCGGAAATCATCTTATTAATTTTAGAATTCAAAATAGTGCCGTGATCCAGAAATTAGTTTAATTGGTATGGTTGATTCTTTATCTGCACGTAGTATTTTATATGTGCAATGGATAATGAATTTTAAAATATATCTAGAAGACTGACATTGATTTATTCACACAAATAATCTTATTTGGTGTCTGTGAGATGTTCATGGGTGAGACTAATTGAAATACAGATGAACCCTAATTAAAGATTAAGCTAAAACGATTGTGGCTTCGATAACAAATTAAGATGAGCTTACCATAGTAGTTATAACATAAACCCTTAAACATATAGCTTAACTCGAGTTAAATGTTAGATTGAAGTTCAGACGTTTGTTACATATGATGCAACATTTTTATGGTTGAGTTGTATGATTTGAGTTTGAATTTTATTCTCTATCTTATTTACAATGTTCTTACTTTAATTTGTTATTTGAAAACTTCAAATCAAATACTATAAATTTCTATCATATTTGCATTATAATTATAGTATATACGTAGTAAAAGTAACATATTCTTACTGGAGAATTTGAGGATTGGAAAATTACACCCTTGCCATTGCTGAAATGACCAAAATGTATCTTGGCTATAACGTATCTTTGGTCATTTGAGGTTCAAGAGGAGCTCAGTTACCAATCTTTACAAACCTCTCAAAAGGCAATACATGTTAAGGAGAAAAAGTTATTTGCAAGGAATGTAGAAGAGATAGAAGAAGAAATATAAAAGAGAAAGCAAAAGGTCTTAGACTACACCCATAATTTTTTTTCGTTATGTTTTCTTCTTTTATATGTGTGTGCGTGTGTGTGTATATATATATATGTATGTATATATGTAATGGGCATACATATAACAAATTTAATGCATCAGCACGAAAGTTTCACAAATCAATCGTTATATGTTATAGTCAGTTGTTGGTAACTGTTGTTTGTCAAATACCAAATGGATCCTTGTTAAATAGGGGTTGTATAACCAATTTAGGGAAAAAGGAAATTACATGTGAATAGAAGAAAACATAACTAGTATTTTTTTTTATATAAAAAATTATATATTTCCATAATTATGTAATATTTACATACTAATATATAAAAATAGAATTAATAATATAATAACATGCAAATAAGATATAAAGAAAATGCGTATATACATATGGCTGGAAGCGTGGGAAGAAGAACGTTCAATCAAACTGGACAATTTCGAACCGGTTCTTTAATCGGTGAGCCAGCATGAATCGTTTCTTCATCATCATTCATACCAGGACATCTGTTCATCTTATTCCCTCCGATGTGTTTTCACTTGAATAAACAACTTTCCTTCATCCGATTCATGGTGATGAATTTCATATATTTAAAGGATAAATCATAAACAAGACGAATCATGTAATTTTTCGAAATGAATCTTAAATAAAATATATCTCTCTTGATCTATTACTTTCCATTTCTTTTTCTTTTCTGTTATTTTCCTCTCTTTCTTTCTCTCTCTCTCTCTCTCTAAAATATTCTCTTTCTCTCTCTATTTCTCTTTCTAAAACCAGTCTCTCTCCATCTATAAAAGATTATCTCTTTCTCTCTCTAAAGACTCTCAAACTCTCTTCTTTTGTCTTCTCTCTTCCAAAAATCTTCTTTTCTTTTCCGAAATTCCAATTCCTTCGTATTTATTTCTTTAATTTTTAGATTATCCCACATCATTTAAATTTAATATTTTTTTTCAAAATCAAGTTTGATAAATTATATATTAAAGGCGGGTACTGACATTTATATACCGGTAAAGAGACGTGCAAGTATCAATTTTATGATAACAGTATAGTAATAATAGTACACTTAAATGAGAGATAAAATATGTACAATTTGACTTGAATTTGAAATGTAAAAATGATGAATTTGTTTGATTCTTAACAAACAGATCATAAAATGTTTCGGTAATGATAACTTATATTATTAATATAATAAAACATGTATATTGACGCTTGAAAGAATGTTGTCGGAAGACTAATTGGAGTCCCCCTTACACTAAAAAGAATTTTAATGTCAAAAATTTTAAAGAACATTGCCAATTCAGTGAGGAAGATAATTAGGTTGGGATGAATCAACTTCAACTGGCATTGCATAGCGGCAAAGTGGGCACATGTGACTGTTATTCAGCCACTTAACAATACAATCTCTATGAAAAATATGGTGACAAGGCATCCGTGTAACCTTCTCTTTCTTCTCCACAAACTCTTCCATGCAAATCACGCACTGTTCCCCATCCAACTCTTTCTCATCAATCGTCACCTTCTCCAACGCCATCACCGATGATCTTGCAGCACCCACAAACTTAACCCTGTACGTTTCCATGGATTCCCTTATGATCTCCATTCTCTCTTCCAGTCTCTCCATTCTAATCCTCAGCTCACCCAAATTAGCTTCTGTGGACGCCCACTGATCTTCCTGATCATCCCTATTGACGTCCATGAACTCCCATACATCCTCCTCCTCACCCATCTCATCGTCGTCACTGATTTCGTCGAAATTCGAATCTGGGTCGCCGAGTCCTATGGCTAAAAACCGCACGCACACCAAGAACCGACGTCTATTGAGTGGCCCGTGGCGCATATCGCGAAGATAGTTGGAGATTTGGCGAAGGAACTTTTGCTGGCAACGGTAACTGACAGGGGCACCGGAAGGGAGATAAGAGCGCTGGTGACCGAAAAGCTCCCTTTCGAAAGTGTTGACAAGGATTTGAGAAGCGCTTGGGCAGTCAAGATCAAGCACGTTAAATCGAGATGATGAACAGAATGGGGGGTTGCCTTGAAATTGAACAATATCGGAATTTCGAGGTGATATAGATGTCGATTGTTGTAAGTTTAGGTGCGATACCGACATGTAGTATCTGTATCCATCATCCATTATATCGATATAGATATATATATATATATATATATATATAACGTTTACTTGACTGGGTTTGTCTTCGGTGAGTATAGAAAGCTTCAAAGTTGAAGATCAAACACCGTGATTTATTTATATGTGTATATATATAGGTTAAATCCCCTAAATAGGCAAAGATTTACTTTCCTAACATGCTTAGGATACGTTGTTTATAGACCTCCTTAATTTGTTTAAATAATAAGAAATCTTCTTTTCCCGTATAAATTATGGAAGATGTCTCCTTTTTTTTTTTTTTGGGAACGGCGTCGTTTTTAATCAAGGTCGGTATTAGTATCCTAGTCATCGACGTTATTTTAATAAAAAAATTAATTAATAAATGAACGTGCACGAAATTTTATGGCGGATTAAAATATTTGTTTAATTTATATTATATTATATATTAATTAAAAAATAATTTTGATGCAACAAGCTCATGCGTTATTCATGAATTTAAAACGCAGCAGAGAAAATTATGGAATTAAACAGAATAGCCATTAATGAGTTGAGAAGACAACACGATGATGCAATTATTTATATTTTGCATTCGAAAAAACATTGATATATATATATATAATACATATTAAAGTTTGAGTTCCTTACTCATCATCTTCTCCTTGATTCTTGGGTTTTGACATACATCATCTCTGTAAAAATATAACGTATCTAGACTTGAATTTCTCTAGACCTGGTTGCAGAGATGATGGTGAGACTGAGGAGAAGAATTAAAGATAAGTAAGACGTTACAGTAGCAGTCGTCATTCTTTTGCAGAACTTGTCGAGGTAATTACAGATAGGCAACCAGCCGGCATGGCTATCGCCATTTTTGCCCAGGTACCCAACGGCAGTTGCAGCCGCACATCCAGCCAGCACCAACGACATCATAGCCTGCACTTCCATTTAAATTTCAGATCTATTAACACAATTACCCACATCATAATTCTTTTATATATTATCATAAATAATTAATGAAGCATATTAGGTTTGATATACCAGATCATGGAGGAAGAAGAAGAAGTAGTTTCCTGGGGTGATGCCTCGTCGAGAAGCAATCAATGTAAACACCAAGGAGAGCAGAGTGAAGGAAGCTGCAAAGGCATTAGCTATGGCTAAGAACCTGAAACGGAAAAAAAGAAGAAGAAAGAGAAAGAAACGGTTGATACTAATGGATTCAATTGACAAGAAGTACACGAGAAAATTGGGGTGGGGGGATATGTGATATATGATATATCTTACTTGAAAGAAGGGGAGTAGCTATATTTAGCCTGAACAGGAATGCCAAAAACCAGAGTGGTTTCTTTGTTAGTGACAATGAGAGAAGTAGAAGCCAAGGAAGCAGCCATGACAGAAGCTCTCAAGAAAATTTGTAAGAGAAGAAGGAATTTGTGGGTTTTGGTGGGTGGGTTTTGAAGGATTTTGGGTTCAGCGTTTGCCATGAATTGAACACAAGTGAAAGCAGAGGAGATATGTATAAAATATATGTGTATGTATATAAATGGAGGGTGTATGTATATGTATAGGTATAGGAGGATAAGGGGAGGTGGGTGTGTAGGAAGAAGAGATATGAAAAAGAGTGTGAAGTAGAGAAAGGGTATATATAGAAATAGAGAACGGAGACGAAGAGAAGAATATTTCAAGTGATATGAACCTAACACATCCGCCAAAATTGCTGCATTCTAAACTTAATCACTATCTACATTTCCTGCTAATTTGTTGCCGATGCAGACAACAATTTTCAACTCTTCATCTTTGGCTTCTGTAATTTCTTTTCTCATTTTAACCTTTTTATTCTCAAAATTTACATCAACAGGAATAGCCTCAAAATCCGGTCTGATTATGGATTAAGGTTCCTATAATTAATTAATTAATCTAAATAAAAATAAAATAAAATATCATATATACATATATATATATATATATATTTACATATGTACTGGTAAGGAGTTTGGGAGAGAAAAATAAAATGTGAAAACCCACGAAGCAGGAGGTTTTATGGCCGAAACTAAAATAAATATTTTGTTGGATTAACGTTTGAGGAATTTATTATGTTATTAATTAAGTAAAATATTATATAACGGTTAATTTTTTTAAAATTAAAATTAAATTAAATTAAATTATATTATATATATATATATATATGTGTATATGAATTCAATTATTTAAATAGGTTGGTTCTTTTTTAGTACTTTCTTACTGAATCAAATGTAAAGAGTGGAAATTGATCTTCAAAAATAAACTATATTTCTTATTAAATAAATTGATTGTAAAGCGTATCTTATAATATTTTATAGCATAATATCTTTTCAATGATTTCCTTTATTTTTTTTTAAAAAAAGAAAAAATAACATTTAAAATAATTAAGTTCAACGAAGTATGGTAGGCTACTTGAGATTCTAAATTAACTTCAATCAAGTAATTCAATAAATTACTTCAACTTTGCCTTTTCTTTTTTCCTTGTCAAAATCCTGCATTCTTGACAAGATGTTCTAATGAGATTTTTAAATGTTAATTCTTTTAAAAGTCACCATTATTCCTTACTATTCAAAGTCATTATAAATCACAAAATGGTTTTCCTAATTTGGTGTTTGATTATATGAATATTTTTGTGTTTCAAAATTTAATTTATGTAAATCAGAAATTCATTAGCCATTATTTCTTACAAAAATTTCAATGTTATTGCTTGGTTTGTTTATAAGATTTGAAAATGATAACTATATGTACCAAATTTGAATTCAAAAGTTGAATAATTTAATACTTGGTTAATTTTAACATGCATGCATTATGTACTTAGTTAGAAACTAACCAAATTCATGGTAGGTCTAAAATGATGGGACAAATTAGCTCGTGTATTAATTAGAACAACTAATCCACAGCACATGTCTTGCTACAATTTATTTAAAGAAATCGGCTACAAATTATTATGATTAATAAAGATGATTTGTTTTTTTGGACTCTCGAAATGCAAGCACCAAAACCCATGAGGTTATTAATATTCTTAAGGTGTGGAACTACATTAGGTCGGAAGCTGATTATTTTCACAGGGTATTTGAATTTTATGAAGAAATTATCTTAATTTTCAAGTTATGCAACCCTTAAAATGAATAATTCATTTGAAATTATTTATCACAATCTGAGTTGTTTCTTGGCACCAACCTAAATAAAATAAGAGAAAAATTCCCTAGCAACATCTTAAAACCATGGATTCTAACATTAATAAACTTTAGATCTTTATTAGAGATTTTAATGATAGTGTAACTTTAAAGGTACCAATTGGAGGTTCTAATTGATTGAGGCTTTAAGGGTCCTCGGTACACTTGGATCCGTGAGACCACAAAGTCTGCCTAGATAAAGATTCTTTTAATATTCAAGGTGAAATTATATTTTAAAGAGGTGAAATCTCGCCAAATGTTACTCAGATTATTGTCCCGCTTAAGTTACTTTGTTACGATGAAGACTCGCTTAAGTTAAGTAAACCTTTCTGTTTTAAGGCAACTTGAAAAACCCATCATAATGTTAGTAGATTTATCTCAAAATCTTAGACGAATGAAGGTTCCATATGGACTACTATTACTAAGTTCATGGACAAAGCTAGAAATCGGAATATGGAAACTTTTGATCACATAAGTCAACCCAAAAATTATCTATAATGGAGGACTTTGGGTATTCAAAAAGCTCTCCTACATCGTAATTTTCCGTTTTTAAAAAATCTTGAAGTAACTCTCATTAACTAAATTATATCTGGATTACAAAAAACATATTTTTTGTTCCAAATAACCTGGATTGAAATATCGACTTTTTTTTATCACACATGTAAAATTAGAAGAAGCCACACTAGAATTTTTCATATTCTTACCTCAAATAATAACCTTTTTAAGGATCCTATTAAATTAAGTATATGACTAATGAATTATATGAAGTCTTTCATTAAAAAAAGCTGACCTCTGGGCCTCCTTTAAACCACAATGGCACTCTATTGAGTATTATGGAAGATGAGAGAGAAAATATAGCTATCCCAATTAGAGATGATGAGATTTTCACGGATTTAAAATCCATTGCACCTCTTAATGCCCATAGACCAAATGTGTTTTATGCGTTATTTTATTAGAAACATTAGGACATCGTTGGGCCCATGGTTGGAGAGCTTGTGCATGGTATTTTTAATGGATATATTTATATTAGATTAGCCAATAATACTCTCATTATGCTCATCCACCAAGAAATACTCTCCTGACACTTTTATTGATTTTAGATCTATTAATTTATGTAATGTATTTATAAGATTTTCATGAAGGTTCTCATTAATCAGCTTAAAATAATAAGACAACTTATTAAAATGACTCAACCTACTTTCTCTCTAGATGCCAGATAATTAACAATATCATTATTGCTCAACAAGTAATTTACATGATACGTGATAAGGAAGGAAATAAAGGTTTATGGCTGTCAAAGTAAATTTACAAAAAGCTTATGACATGCTTAACTGAGATTTTAGTGAGGATACTCTTAAAACAACTAGGTCACTTGAGAATTACATAAGTTGTGTCATGATTTGTATTTGAACCTTACCTATGCAAATTAATGTTAATGGGAGCTACTAACAGTTTCGATCCCACCAACGGAATATGTAAAGAAGATCTTTTCTCTTCCTATATTTTTATCATTTGTATCGAGAGATTAGGTGACATGATCCATCATAGGGTCTTCGAGGGAAAATGGAAGCCAATCAGGATGGGACATAGAGACCCCACATTATCCTACCTCTTTTTGGTGGATGACCTTATCTTTTATGAGAAAGCCAATATAGGGAAAATGAGGACAATAAACGATTGTTTTGAGTCCTTTTATGTAAGTTCTGGACAATAAATTAATTTTATTAAATTTGGGATTTCCTTCTCTAATAATGTGAGTAGAGAGGTTATCTATTATTTGAATGAGATCAACTTCATCCTCTCTACATCGAATTTTGGGAGATACCTTAGAGTGTCATTGATCTATAATAGGACTAATCATAACATTTATAATGAAATTATAGATCACACTTAGAAAAGGCTTACAAGTTAGAAGATCCCACACCTACCCAAGTGTACGACTTTGGCGGAGTCTATCCTTAATTCTATCCTTGTTTATTCGATTATTGCCTTCCGTCATTAATACCCACCCACTTGAATATAATGATTGTAGATTTTATTTGGGGTTCGGGAGAGGGGGACAAGAAAATTCATCTTGTGAATTGGGCTACGATTTGCCAACGTAAGGAAAGGAATGTCCTTGGGGTTTGGGATATAAGGATCTAAAATGTTGCCCTCCTCATGAAGCTCGATTGGTGATTTATCATAGAACCCAATAGTCTTTATATAAAGGCCCGAAACTTAAGTGAAAATAAAGTCATAAATTAAATGCAAAAACAAAATAATAGATTTTAGCGTTTACATTTCTTACACAATAATTTAGAATGCCTAATAGGGTTACGAGAATGTCCCTTTTAAAAGAATAAACGAAAATTAAAGAAATAAACAAAAACAAATAACTGAGTATTTTAGGATGACCTTCACTAACTTTTGAAGGGAGTCTGGGGGGTGAACTTATTCACAATATTCTTATTGAGATTGATCTAGATCCTGATCCTCTTGATATGAAATAATTAATAAAATGGTGAGCTACACTACCCTAATAAGAATATCACACTACTCACCGATACAGAAACTGAATGTTGGTAAAAATAATAAAAACAATCAATGGAACTCTTGATTTAGGTAAATTAATTTATCATAAAGAAAATCAGTTATTGCATATATTTACTATTGCAAGATTTTCAAAATAGATATATAAAGACAATAACTCAAATAACATCTCAATTTCATTTTCGAGTGAGTAATAACAATCATTTTCATTTTTTATTTGCTTACTGATATCATTGGAGGCCCATAAGGATGTTCCACTATGCGTGAACCAATATTCGACATTGTCAACTAACCAGCTGTCCCCATACCCTGTTTAGTATGAGCACCAAAAATATCATATCTCAATATCTCATTCGGTATGAGGGCGAATTGGGCCGTCCCCATATTCCGTTCGGTATGAGTGCAAAAAATATCATTCCTCGATATCTGGTCCGGTATGAAGCAACGTTCACGGTAGGGTTCCCTATGTACTCGGTTTGTCTATTATCTCGCAGGATATCCAGTAAGGTTACCATTCATTAATTCACATGGCTAAATAATTTTTCGCTTGTATATTAATTTATAATTTCACAAATCAACAGTAAATCACGCAAGACAAGTAATATATATATATATATATATATATATATTAACGAA